TAAATACATAGTATTTTACATCTATTGGTAATCAATCACGCTGAATTATTTACACTAGTTTGCTTATTTTAATTTGCTACATAATATTTAAACTAATAAAATTTGTAATGTATAAACTAATGTAATTATCCTATAGATATTACATGGAAAACACCGGCAACTCATCGCTTACCACCAAAACTAAGGGCCCGTAAAATATTATCACCAAAAATCATACCAAACAATGCGCTACCGATAGATATGTCGCTTAACAGGAAAGGCCTGAGTGGCGGCATATGTCCAAAAATAACCAAGAGCATTAAACTTGTTAATGAAAAATCACCTACATCCCTGTCCAACGGCAACAGGCCCTCTATCACCACGACTACTAGCACTGCCACCGCAAAAACGCCGTCAGATAACCTGGAGCTAATCATTAAGGCTATCAAACATGTTGAGAGTGACACCGGTGGAGGTGTGAGTGGGGTTGTATGCGGTGGGCCCGGTATGGGTCCGGTTAATGGCAAACATACGGGCGCCGAGTTTGACGTGCAATTGCCGCACGGCTTACAACACTTGCATTTAAAACATATTTTGAAGTCTAATTAAATGTTTGTCCAATTAATAATTGTTATATTAAATGCCGTATTTTTAGCACATTATAGAAATATAGTTGTCATTATAGTGTCTATGTTTATAAGTTGTTAATATTTTTACATAGTTTTTAATATTGTTATTAATTATATTTTAATATCATTAATTATGTTGCAATAGGCATTAGTATGTGATTTAGGCGTTTAATACACTATAGGTGTTGTCAATTGTGTACAATAGATAGGAATTTATTAACTATGTAAAACATGAAACAATGTGTGTTTTTTAACATTGTAAAAAATGTTTATTTCAAAACTTAATAAAAATTCGTGTATTTTTATTTCGAAACGGCAATTAAAACAATGCAAATGTTGACAAAATGTTATTTCTTATTACATTTGGTTGTTTGTAACGCATATAAATCACCTTAATTTTAGCAAAATAACGTTCTCTCTCTCTCTCTCTTTCTTCACCTCTTCGGCCGTCCGGTGCCGTATGAGTGGGGTTGGGGTTGGGAGTGATGCCGATGGGAGTGATGGTCGAGCAGTTGCCGCAGACACTGAAAACCATTGTTTATGATCTCTCTCTCTCTCTCTCTCTCTCTCTCTCATTCATTCATTCATTTACTTTATTATAAAATAATAACAAATTTAGATAATATTTTTCATATGAGAAGTTGCTATTAAAAACTTTTTAAAACTTTTTGCTATAAAATACATGTTATAATTATTAAAATTAATTTTGAATACTTATTTCAATGCAATCAACAAAAAACTTGATCACTTATCTACACTATCTATGTACAATATTAATCTAATTGTAATAAATGTTATAATTTCAATCATATTTTAATCACATTAATTTCATCTATTTCAGTTTAATGGCAAACCCTCTCTCATAGTCTCTCTCATACACTCTCCCACTCTCTCCAAATGTAATTCACCAATACTTACAAATATGTATAACTTCTTAATAAGACTATTATAATTGCCGTTCAATACAAATGCCTTATTTAGGGTAACAAAGTATACAACATTACATTCTGTCAGTTAACACGTTTTAAAAACCAAACACACATACCTATACACAAATATCTGTTGACAAACCGCATAACAACACACGCAAAAAGTGGAACAAAAAACACGTACAAACCGTACACACTATATGGGCAACCATTTTGGCACATAATAAACATCAACAGTACAAACGCAATGCAACACATTGTAGACAATTGGCGCACAAATCACACACAAAACGTCTACAACAAAACACACCGCTCACATCACGTGACAGCACACATACACTGCACAGGCATTGCAACAGCAAAGCAAAGGTTACGCAAAAACAACACAACATTTGTTAATACCATCACTTGTTTTGGCCACACATTTACCGACAAATACCACTACCAATGCTTACAGTGAGTGGTCGCGGGGGTCCGGCGGTGGCCAGCGCTGTGCGGGCCGTCACCCAAGCGGTGGGCGCCCGCTCTATACAGCCCACGCCCGCCGGGAGTCAGCTGTTGTCGCACTGGGAGGAGAGGGAAGAGATCACACCACCGATCATTCCCTACGAGTATCAATGGTTGGCCACACACGTGGACGCGCCGTCGCGGCCGCGGCCCCAGACCTCGTACGCCATCGGGAAGTCGCTGTTTACCCGTCAACTGACCGCCGGTTCCGGTGTTGGAGGTATGTGTGCACCGGCACTGCCCGCCGATGCTTATTGGCTACGGCTTCGGGAGGTTTACGGCCACCAGTGGTGGTCAGTGGTCACCACTTAGTGGTGGTAAACTTCTTGAGAGCCTTACCGTTGATTTGCATTTGTTTTGTATATATTTGTTATTAATCCGTGGTTTTGTTTTTTCATTTCTCATTCACACCACTTTTCGTCGCCCTGTGCTGTCTCTGGCCGTCACACCCGATGCCTGTCTGTCCGCTACCGCTGACCAATACATACATACATACAGTGGGAACACATGTCCGCTATTATCACAACGACATAAAAGTACCCAACTTTGAGAACTATAGACACCCGAAGACCAAAGACCCGAACCGCGCGGCCAAAGAGTCGCGAGACGAGCGCCGACTGACACTCGACGTCGTGAAGATCGGTGTGGGAGTGACCGGAGCTATAGTTGCCAAACGTATCGGTCAGACATTGGTGGCCAATCTGTCGCCCGCGCAGTCGACGCTCGCTATGGGTGTCATTGATATCGATTTGTCAGCGGTTCCCGAAGGCAAGAGTATTCTCGTCAAGTGGAACGGTATGTGTGCTTTCTCTCTCTCTCTCTCTCTCTCACACACACACATAAACACTAATGTCTTATGGATTGTGAACTACAGGCAAACCCGTACTCATACGGCACCGGACGGCCGAAGAGGTGAAGAAAGAGAGAGCGCAGGCGAAGGAGGAGCTCCGGGACCCGCAGACCGACGAGGAGCGGGCGTACGCCCACCCCTCTGGCAAATGGCTGGTAGTGATGGCCAACTGTACGCACTTGGGTTGCATACCGATCGCCAATCAGGGCAATTGGGGCGGCTTTTACTGTCCCTGTCATGGCTCCCATTACGACGCCTCCGGCCGTATCCGCAAAGGCCCGGCCCCTCTCAACCTCGAGGTGCCCGACCATCACGTGCTCGAAGCCGAGAATAAGCTCATTTTGGGCCTCAAAACACCCGCAGTGTAGGAGAGGACAGTTGGACACCCTATCGCTGGCCTACAGAGTAGTAGTCTATGTATTCATTTATTATAAATGTATTTATGAATTAATAAATTTAGGATTTAATTGAATGAATAAATTGTTTTGTTTTTTTCAGTTTTTTGTGGCTATTATTTCGCTATCATTTGTGTTGTAATTTAGCCGTAAATCTATTGTTTAAATTAATTGCAAAAATTGTTTTTTAGCATTAATTAGTAATTAATTTTTTTTAATACAATTCTCTGTTCTTATGGTATAAATGAAAAATTGTTATCAAATTAATTGAAATATAAATAAATTATTTGAATTTAAACTAAATCTCAAACGTATAAACTCAAAATCTAATATCTCTCTCTCTCTCTCTCTCTCTCCATACATGCCTGACCTGAGTAATATCGGACCAGTACTCCAAGATATGCACAAATACCTGTATAGTGTCGATCACGGCCTCA